ATTGACCAGAGGGCAGATCTTGCTGCCCAGGTATTGCCCACAGGAACTTCTTCATAAGCGTGGGACGTGGGGTGTGGGGTGCCCACACGGGACTGGTTTCACAGTGTTTGCCTATCTCACCTTTGCTCCAAGGTGTGACGCGGCTGGCTGATATCAGCTTGCTCGATCCGGTCCAGATTTCTGTCCTGGATCAGCACCACGGGCAGTCTGACCCGGAGCGAGGCACACTTCCCGAGGTTTCCCCTCTACCACCTGACGATGAGCTGGACAGCTTTGCGATTCCAGGAAGTCTTGATCAGCATGTGACGCTGGTTCCCAGCAAACTGAAGCTCGTCTCCCTGGCGGCCTTCATCCTGCAGAAGTGCAAGGTTGGGACCAGCTCAGTTGAGGGAAGAAGGTCCTGTTCTCTCTGTGTCTGGCGTTGATAGCAGTGAATTGAGGGATGCTCACTCTCTCTCTCTCTGTCTCTCTCTCTCTCTGTCTCTCTCTCTCTCTCTCTCTCTCTCTCTCGTGCACACACACACACACACACACATACACATGTTTTTCCACTGTAACTGTGTTTCAAATGCAGACTTTACCAGTCAGCCATCCTGGGGTTGTGGTAAAGACCCAGAGGTCAGTGATAGCTGTCACATTCGACATGAAGTGTACCTGAATCCTCTGCTGGGATGGAGGACCAGGAGCATCACAGGTGGCAGAAACCGGCTGCATACCGGCAGACACGGGAGCCTGTGCTCCTGGTCTCTTAAGAATTCGGGCATTTCTGTGCTTACTGGATGCACGTGATAACTTCCTCTCGGGTGTGGGAAAGTAGTGGGTGTAGGGGCTCGAGGAGGAAGCTTCAGAGGTACCGCTTGTGGGGCCCCAGCCAGGCAGGGGCACGTGTGGCGAGCCACGGGTGGGTGGGAAGAAGGGGAGCGCACGGCCTCGGTCCACGGCGCATCTGCGCTGCTCAGATTTGGGAAGCCTGGCCGAAGTCGTAGCCGTGTCACTTTCCTCTCATCTACTCTTTGGAGCTTATGTTGTATCGTGGTACTTTTTTTCTTTGTACATTTTTTTTTTTTTTGATTATTCAAAGCTTTCCGTCATCTGGGTTTCCAAGTCCGGGCCAGCACGACTACTTGTTTTAGAGAAGTACTCGTTTCAGGGTCACCTAATTTTAAACACGTGTGGTGGTTCTTTCCCCCTCGGTACCGACGTAGTTTGAGAAAGACCAGAAGATGATCATCTTTTTCTTGAGCTGTGAGCTGGTGGAGTTCTATTACCACCTCTTCCTCCGGACCCTGCCAGCCTGCTCAGGGGCCCCCGCGTCACGGCAGCCACCATCTGCCTCCACGAGATTCAAATTCCTGCGGCTGCACGGCAACATGGAGCAGGAGGTGAGCTTCGCGCCCGTCCCTGGGAGTGGGAGCGGGCCCGAGTCTGACGACCGTGAACGTGGCCTTTCGGGGTCGGCTCTGGCTTCCGCCTCGGACTCTGCCGGGCGAGGAGGGGACGAGCCTCGGGCGGGCGGGCGACCCACTGGACCTGGGGACAGATCGCACGGCCGCGTCGGTGCGGGCAAGGGCGTCTTTTGTTCCCGGGTGTTCTTGCTCCGGGAGCTGCCCTCTTCCACCTGAGAGAGCTCGCGGCCCGGCTTGGCCCGAGTCTGCCTCAACCAGCTGTTAAGGCAACAGAGTACCACTAAGTAGCTGGCACCAGGGAAGGGTTTTGCCTTTTTAGTACCCAGTGTGTAATTAGGGCTTGATGTCTTCAAATTAAGAGCATTAATGGAGCTAAATTGTGGATCCCATATGGTACTGCTGAGCGCGACTGCTGTCATTGTCAACAAGATACAGCGCCTTCACTCTTAACACCGTGGTTGGGCGAGGGGCTTCAGGGTCTCAGTTGTGTCTCAGCTCTGAGTAATACTGCCGTTCAGGAGGGAGAGAGTCACGCCTCCCGGTTTTAGGTTCTGAGCGGCACAGCCCTCGTTCCGTCCAGGCGATGGGCAGGGAGCCGGGTGAGGCGCGCGCCGGCGTGGAAGGCGGACGAGCAGGCCCTGCTAGCGGGAGCCATCTTGTCCTGGAAGGAGGTGACCGGGCGCTCAGTCAGGGCAAGGGAAGGACAACCAGGAATCGGAGCAAGGCTTGACTAGCTCCAGTTTGTAAAAAACACACCTTTAGAGCTGAGGGAGACGTTAAAGCCATCAGGTCCAGCCCCCTTCTCGTGCTCGCTTTTGTCAGTTTAATAATTTAAGAGTGTGCAGGCTCAGAAAAGTGAGCGTGCTCAAGGTCACTCAAGGACCCAGCTTCTTCTTTCCCACGGGACCGGATGGAATTTCCTGAATCGTCCGGCCCTTGTGAATGTTACGAACTTCAGGGGCCCTGACGCGGTGGATTCTGTTGATCCCATAACTTAATGCCACTTAGAGCGTTTGGTTTTTGATAAAGCTTCGTTGCCTCGTCCTCTCGGTCTTCTTCGCCAGAGGCCTTGTGCCAGGCGGGCGTGAGGACAATGAGGGAGCCGGGTGTGGACTCAGAAGGACCTAGGAATGTGCATTGATCGTGCAAAAGGCTCTGTAGTTAAAGGATCTCAGTCCGATCGACTCACTTTCTGAGGGCACTGGTCTTGCAGGATGCTCACAGCCGTGTGCTCTGGGACGCGCTGCTTGCACGCTCGTCCTGGCTCTGCCTTTACTGGCGGTGTGACCTCAGGAAAGCGTGTCGCTAAAGTGGAGGTGATAGCGGTACTCACTTGATGGGGTTGGTGTGAAGGTTCATTCAGTCAACGCAGATGATGTGCTGAGTACGGGGCCTGGTGCATGAGCGCTCCACAAACGTAGGTGCCATTATTACTACTGTCTCTTTCCGGAACGGTTAGCGTTCTGCTTATTTCGTCTAGTGAGTGTTTAGCCTTCCCGGCCTTCTCATGACATGGGCAGAAGGTGGGAAGGAGTATTTCTGTATTTCAAGTTACTGGCCAAGTGTCTTGTCCCACGCTAAGCTAAAATAGTCCCAGTCCCGTCTGCCTGGCTCGTCACCCTGGCCACGGCTCTACATGACCTTGGTTTGGTCTCCTTGATGGTCGAAGTGACCCTGACCACATTTATGAGCATTAGAGAAAAGTTGCTGGGATCTGTTTTGTTTTAAAACATTTCATCTTTGGGGCGCCTGGGTGGCTCGGTCGGTTGGGCGTCCGACTTCTGCTCAGGTCGTGATCTCACGGTCCGTGAGTTCGAGCCCCACGTCGGGCTCTGTGCTGACAGCTCAGAGCCTGGAGCCTGTTTCAGATTCTGTGTCTCCCTCTCTCTCTGCCCCTCCCCTGTTCATGCTCTGTCTCTCTCTGTCTCAAAAATAAATGAACATTAAAAAAAATTTTTTTTTTTTAAATAAAACATTTCAAGGGGCGCCTGGGTGGCGCAGTCGGTTAAGCGTCCGACTTCAGCCAGGTCACGATCTCGCCGTCCGTGAGTTCGAGCCCCGCGTCAGGCTCTGGGCTGATGGCTCAGAGCCTGGAGCCTGTTTCCAATTCTGTGTCTCCCTCTCTCTCTGCCCCTTCCCCGTTCATGCTCTGTCTCTCTCTGTCCCAAAAATAAATAAACGTTGAAAAAAAAATTTTTTTTTTAAATAAAAAAATAAAAAAAAAATAAAACATTTCATCTTTAATGTTTGTTTATTTTGAGAGAGTAAGCCCCTCCCCTGCTCCTGCTGTCTCAAAATAAATAAACTTTATTATTTTAAAACAATTTTTTTAATGTTTACTTTTGAGAGAGAGAGGGAGAGAGAGAGACAGGGAACATGAGTTGGGGAGGGGCAGAGAGAGAGGGAGACCCAGAATCCAAAGCAGGCTCTAGGCTCCGAGCCGTCAGCACAGAGCCCGACCCGGGGCGGAACTCCCAGGCTGTGAGATCATGACCTGAGCCCAAATCGGACACTCAACCAGCTGAGCCACCTAGGCGCCCCATAAATAAACATAAAAAAGGAAAGAAAAAAAAAAGTAGCTGCATGACGGCTGTGAGGAAAGCTCCGGGTTTGGTCATTTTCTCCTTACCTCAAAGCTGAATGTGTTACGTCGTTCGTAGGATGTGTCTTACAGGCTTTTATGAACTTTTCTGATTTATTTTCTGATTTTGACTCTACAGTGACCCTTACAAAGAGCGTGCAGCACGCTGGGCAAATCCAGCTGTCCTCTTGAGGGTCTGAGCACTGGCTCTGGAACACGACTCCCTGGGTGTGGGTATTGCTGTGTGTCCCTTGGGCAAGAAGTGACTCCACCTTTCTGTGCCTCAGTGTCTCCATCTGGAAATGGGTGTGGTGATAGTACGACTGCCAGGGTTGTCGTGCAGAGTGGGTGAAGTTCAGGCACGTGGGGCGTAGGCCACTCTCCGGGACTTGGTAGCCCTCGTTGTGCTGGTTGTCGTTACCCACTGTCCTAAGTGAGGTGTGCCTGGAGGTTCCAGTTACGTGACGGAATGACATGCAGGTGAAGGACCAGAATGAGGTGCGCCCCAGTGGCACGGTGGCTGGGCCAGACCTCACTGGGAAGGTGAGACCTCACTTTTTTCTTTTTTCCAAGTTTTAGTGGCTTGGTTATATTCCTTTTCCTGTCCCTGACAGACAGACACGGCCAAGTCTCATCTCGCAGTGCTGTGACTTAACCCACGTCGAGTGTGCCCTCAGCAAGCCTCTCGAGCGGACGCTCTTCGGTGCGGCGGGACTGCCTTTAGGGTTTTAGCCCAAAGGGATAATTAAATACATACGCAGCAGACACTCTAGGAGGGTGTTTATCTCAACATTGGGCGCCAGAGCGAACAGTTGGAGACAAACCCAGCTGCTAGGGACGGGGTGTTGGACGACGGTGCCCATTCAGCTGAAGCCTCGGTAGCCACGAGAGGCGATGTGATTCGGGGTGTCGATTGGCACAGGAGGGGGTCCGTATTCTGACACGACAGCATGGTAGCAGTGGAAGGAGCACGCTGCCATTTGAGAAAACACGTGTTTACGTGCCTGCGAAGGGTGTTGCCCATGGCGGGGGCCTGCTTTGCTGGGGTGATCTCAGTTTCTTCCTCTGACTTAAAACATATATATAATTTCCGGGACGCCTGGGTGGCTCATTCAGTGAAGCGTCCACCTTTGGCTCAGGTCATGATCTCACCGTTCGTGGGTTCGAACCCCGTGTCAGGCTCTGTGCTGACAGCTCGGAGCCTGGAGTCTGCTTCGGATTTTATGTTGCCCCGTCTCGCGGCTCCTCCCCTGCTTGTGCTCACTTGCGTGCGTTCTCCCTCTCTCTCTCTCTCTCTCTCTCTCTCTCTCTCTCTCTCTCTCTCTCTCAAAATAAGTAGACATTTAAGAATTTTTATAAAATATATACAATTTTGTATAGCTAAGATACGTAGTGATTGTAATTTTTAAATTTTCTTTAAAATTAGTTTTTAAGAAAATTTCCCTGTAGGAAAGGTGGTGGTTCTTTATTCCTCTCGACCTCGTGCTTAGAATAAATTCTGAGTTGGGAACCTGGGGTACAGTAACTTGTGGCCTTTGGCCTTGCCTGCCCTAGGTATTGGCCGTCCCGAGGGGTGTGCCCACCCTGGCCCTGTCTTACTGAGAGGTGCTGCCCTCAAATAGCCTGGGAAGTCCAGACCTGTAAGGACAGGGTCTTGATGAGATGTGAAGAATCTGCTTCTCTCTCTTGGAAAAGCCTCTCCATGCCTAAAGACAGAGCCCTGGGAAGTGGGGGGTTATGGGAATCCAAGCCTGCCTTGCTGGGACTGACCTCAGAGTTGTAAGCCCCTGTTTTTCCTTGTTTCTGTAGGAAAGAACAGCGGTGTTTGAAGAATTCTCACATTCCAAGACCGGCATCCTCCTCTGCACGGTACGTACCATTCTGTACTCTACGTGGGGGCCGAGAATTTCTGTAATGGTGGTCACGGGTTTTCGCCTCTGGACAGTTGGCCTTGCAGCCAGCCCCACGGAGAGCGGGGATATCGAGGCCTCTTGGTGTGGCTGGTCGCCTTGCACTTCTGGTCGTCCCCTGGCCGTGCCACAGACAGCCGGCTGCCACCGTGCAGAAGTCTTGCCGATTTGCTCACTAATAGTGGCAGCTGTTGGTCTGAAAATGTGTGAATCTTGGCGATTTCTATCCACCAAAAATGTGTAAATTACAGCTATCGGGAGTAATTAGAGCTGAGAAAGTCTTTTCGCAACAGAGTCGCCCCACTTGCCTCTGCTCGAGCCTTCTTTAAAAGGCAGATAGATGTGCTTGGACAGATTTCTTTTGCTCTTGTCTAAGGCCCTGCGGTTTGGGGGCCAGGTCATTCGGCCCCGGCCCTCGGGGTTCCCCCGCCCCCCTCAGTGCAGAGCTGGCCTTTACGATGGGTCTCGTGCTCTTTTGAGATCGAAAACTCTCATCTCCCGTGCCCCCTTCTCTGGGACTTCACGGCACCACCGTTGTCACTGGCTCCTACGATTAAAGCGCCTTCTCTCCTTGTGCCCTCCCGGATGGTGTGACTCAATACCCAGCTCATCTGAGAAGTCCCCGTGTGTGCAGTGGTGACATCGCACTGCTGACTGGGCGATCCAGTGGGCAGGTGCTGGGCAGGACAAAAACTGTTAGCTGTTTGGATACCTGTCTAGGCCTCACTTTTTAACACAGTTACTTTTTAAGGAACTCCTGCTCTGCATTCAGGTGACAGGTGTTGTTTTCTTTCTAAATTCAGGGTTTCCAAATGGGTACAGCTTGGTTTCTTACGCACAAGGTGGCCACCCAGTCACCCGTTTATCACCGTGTGCCAGTTCTGACACGAGGTGTGGCAGACGGGGGACCCGGGCGTCCGGACTGGGCACGATCACTCCTGGCACGCTTGCCTCCTGACGAGCACTGAGTCTGACCAGGTGGCCCTGCCCTTTGTGGAGCCCATCCATAAATCAGATGCTGGTGTTTGCTCTAAACCGTCTCTTAATGCCAGCGCTAAAGTGAGGATGAGTCCAGATCTGCTTGGGAAAGAAGTTTGTCAAAAATCCTTACCGTCTCTAACGATACTCTCTGGAACCTGACCTCTTCCCGTCTCCTCAGCCTCCACTTTCCCTCTTGTTGCTGGCCTCGGCCAGATAGGCTCCTGCCTTGGTTTCCTGAACGTGTTGGTCTTCCTTACCTGGCCTTGGGGCCTTTGTACCCGCGTCCCCCTACCTGGGGCACCTCCCCTGACTTGCACTAGCCCTACTTAGGTCTCTGCTTCAGTTTCAGCTTTTCAGGAAGTGCACTCCCAGGGCCCACTTTTCCCCATTAGGCCCTCCCAGCGCACCCCGCACAGTACCCACCACACCTGGCCTAGGTGTCCTCCCCCACCCCGAGCACGAGCCCCTAAAGGTGGACTGTGTGGTTTGCAGTCCCACGCCGGTGGCCGGGACAGAGCAGGTGTGCCGTAGGCACTCAGGATTTGTGAACCGAGTGGGTGGGTATTTGGGGCCCAAGAAACAGTGTTGAGAACCACCAATGTCTGCCTTTTTCTGAAGACTGGAAGAGGCTGAGGTTAGTACCCTTGCTCATTGGGAACAGGTTCACTTTTCATATCCGTGCTGTACCCGAGGGTGAACATTACAGGTTGTCTGTATTGAAACAAAAGACAGTAGGAACCTTTGTGTTGGAGTTTGAGTTGCGATAAGAGCAAAATGTTTTTATCTTTGACCCTTAAGATGTTGGGTTTGTCCCTGGTGGAAAATTCTCAAGTCTCCTGGTGTTTCTTTCAGACGTGGGTGAGCTCTGGGTCTCAAAGAAAATTCCAGGTATTTGAAGTTCAGTGTTTTGGTTGGTTTTGGTCTTGGTGTTTTTTTGTTTTTTGTTTTTTGTTTTTTCCAGTAGGTTTACGTGGAAGTAAAGGTCGTTCTTTTTAAAAGGTAATTCTCAGTGGGGTCGGAAGCCTATGATGAGTTTTCTTGTTTTGTCTGGCTGATACCTGCAGTGAGGTCGGCCAAACAGAGAGCGCCACTGCCTGGGCAGGGCACGGCATCCCCACCCCTCTGCCCCCCACCAGCCCCGGCACCCCTCTGCCCCCCACCGGTCCCGGCGGCCGCGCGCAAAGCCAACTCGCGCTTGCCCCCAGTCTGATTTCACTCAAGTTTCTTGGTGTGTGCTCATTTGCTTGTCGAGGAACCTTCCAGCGTGCCGATCTTCCGCCAGCCCCATCCTTTCTTCATTCTGCAGCGAAGGTTACCAGAGGAGAGCCGGGCGGGGGCTCACTTCCTGCCGTTTGGAAGCCAGGGAGCCAGCACGCAGTCCCTGGTGATGAGGAGCTGCTCTCTTACCCTCAGAATTCCTCCCGCTTCCGCCACATTTGTTTGCTTTGGCCTGAAGCTTCTGGTGTGTGAGAGCTGTAGGCACATGAGGCCCACTGCAGTAGATCGTGGCCCGGTTGGGGCGATGCTGTCACTGCATCCTTTTAAGCAGCCTGTTGCTTGCCAGGCCCTCTGCATGCTCTCCGGGAGTCTCCTTAGTGTTAATGAGGAACGGGGGCCACGTCAGGACAAGGCAGATGGAGAACTGGCTTCTTTTGATAAAGAGGAATCGTGTTAATTGTTGCAGGGGGATTTTCCCTCCCCTTTATACCGTACCTTTTGCCACTTTGATTTATCATCCCAAGATCTTTTACCGAGCCCAGAAGACTGAATGTCTGTATGAAAAGTTGGGAACTGTGCTGTAACCACTCAGAAACTCACAATTATGCTAGTTACTGCTTCAAAATTCACTCCCCCCAATCCATTTTCCTCCCTCCTGTCTTTTCTGTTATTAGGAACAGTCCAGGACATATGTGTGTGTGTGTGTGTGTGTGTGTGTGTGTGTGTGTGTGTGTGTGTTTTCTTTCATCTTAATTATAAACATCTGAGAGCAAGGACCTTTCTAATTTCTTACAACCTTCAGGGCCTGGTACCTGGCTTTGTGTACTGTGGGTTCTCAACAAACAAGTGAGCCCATGGTGACATGAAATGTAGGCAGAAGCGAAAGGGCAGTTGGGGCAGGGGAGACCAGTTTGTGAGAGAGGTCCTTACACATTCAGAATGGAGTTTTGTGTCCTCTAGAGAAGTAGATGTGAGAAGAAGCCAAGTTAAGGGAGTAGGGATTAGTGGGAAGGAGCTGGTTGGAAGTTCAAAAGCCCACTTTCCCGAATGGAATTAAGAAGTCAAAGGAGTCAGATAGGAGATAGTAGATTATCTACAAAATGTTTCCTCCTGCTTGTGGTGCGGAACTGCTGATAAACCAGAGGTGGGGAAGGTGGTTTTCAACACCATTGTTATGTTGATCGGTCGATAAAGGGATGTGCCTCGGAGTAACTGGAAGATGATATTCCCGAGCTTCCTCTGGTTTTAAGGCCCACGCTGGACTTTTCCTTTGTTGTACATGTGGCCCTCCCTGGCCATCCGTGGGTACCATGGATACGGAGCACAGTGACCTTTTCCCCGGCACAGAGAGGCACCCCCGGCCTCGCTTGGTCTTCTGGCTGCTTCTCCGCCGCACTAGATCTTGGTTGTGGGGCCTGTGCTTGCTTCAGAAGACCCCGAACCTGTGCTGCTTTCCCCCACCTTGTCGATTTGTTTTTTGTCTTGAAGCACACCTTTACGTCTGTGCGGTTCTTAATTTCCCTTCCTCCTGGGGAATTTCCACTGTGCCCAGGGGGGGGGAGGGCTGCTGGGGGACAAAGGAGGCTAGGAGATGAGGCCAGGAGAGTCACGGGAATGTCACTTCGCCACCGACAACACATGTCGACTCTCCTGGTTTTCTCTGGGGCGTGCTTTTGAGGTAAAGTTTAGCTTTTCCACTTTATTTCATTCGTGTTAATGGCAAGATCATTTGGAGATGGTTGGCTGTTTACTCGGTTACGCTAACTCATGTTGCCAGTTTTCTGGCGGCTCCAGCCAAGCTCTCTCGCCTCTGACAGCTTCTGCACTCTCTCCTTCCTCCTCTGATTACGCAGCCCAATCTGTCACCCGGACAACGGGGGCCTGTACCCCGCTGATGGCTTTCCACACACGGCAATAATGACTTTTGGCAGGCCGGGAAGGCGGCGGAGGCGAATTTGCTACGTCCCTTGCTCAGAGAGCCGGCAGGCCCCCTCTCCCTGTTAGTAAAAGCACTTTGTGAGGTTCTTGGGTAAATAAATGAGTCATTTTAATCCAACTGACAGGCTGGCACCTGAGCAAGCTGCCTTCCATCTGTACTCCTCGGTCTCGTGGAGGCGGCCCATTGTCAGGCCCCGGGCCTTCACGGCCTCACCGTTGAGTGTCTTTCAGAGCTGACTTTAGCAATTCTTTTGCCCTAATTAGCTTAAAGGAATACGGTTGGGCTGGGTCTAACTTCTAAGAGGGGCAGAGAACCGAAGCCTTTGCCGAGACGTAGGTCATTTTCCTGTGGACCTGGCACCCCCAGCGGACAACGTTTGCAGAGGATGGAGCAGATCCTGGCTTCTCTGTGGTCCTCTGCCCGGGTTGGGTGCGCGGGCACACAGATCACCTCCTAATTGCCACCATGTCGATTCCTCCTTCGTCGTGGAATGAAATGCTTGGATTTGTAGTTCTCAATACACTTGTGCAAACACGGTCCCGTTCGATCTCCTCAGCCACCCCGTGAGCTGAGATCAACAGGGTGGGTCTTATAGCCATGGGATGGGTGGGCAAACTGAGGGTCAGCGAGCCGCGTCGACTTGCCCGGGTGGTGTGGCTGCTACGGGGAGGCTGGAGTTCAGTTCTGTCTGTCCCTGGGCCATGCAGGTTGTCCCTTTGTCCCGTTCCCTGTGGTATCCCGGGTCGAGGATAGGAAGGAGGATTTGCAGGAACAGCTTGAGGGAAGCCTGAGCAGTGGTGGCTGTCAGGGAGGGTCCCCCCCTCCCTAAGACATAAAGCAGTGCTAGATGGGAAGATGGTTTCTCGGCCGGTCCCCGAGCGGGAAATAGAATGTCGAATGGTCCCGGGAAGGCCGCTGGCGTTGTTGCTCCCCATTTCGGTATGTTTGTGCTCAGTGAGCTCCACGAACGTCACCTGCTGCTTTAGAGTTTCATCTGTGTTTCTTGGTTGAATTTACTAAACCAACGAGCATTACATTTTTTACAAAGTGTCTGCAAAGCTCAGACAGCCACTGTCTACGTGCATCTCCCACTGCGGAGCACTTAAATAAAATAAATCATTTCTTAACAAGAGCTTAGCAGATTTAAGAACCCGTCAGTTTTTCTGAAGACATCAACTGTGGTTAGCGTAGAAAGCGATGTCTGCTTCCCTTTAAGATAGAGAACTCTCTAAATTGTGTCCTCAAAGGCATCAGCTCGGGAACATCCGCCTTCAGTTTTCAGGGCGGTGGGAGCTGTCTGCAAACACTTGGTGGATGGTTGACACGATTTGGTACGTTAACTTCCGCTTAGTACCTAATAAATGCAGCCTGGCCACCACTCCGAGGAAACTTCCAGCAAGCCCAGGTGTAATCAGAGTGAAGGCGGACAATTCCTGACCTGCCCTCAGCGGTCCTTGCAGGTGGGTGAGATGATGGTGGGACAAGATCTTCCCTGGCTCCTGCCTCTGACCCTGGGCGATACAGGGAATAGTTGGTTGAACGTGCTTTTTACAGAAACTTTGCATAGGATTCTTGGTTTCCAGAAAAGCCTTATGTATGTAAATCCTTAGTGATACTTAAGGGGAGAGGAAGGCCAGCTGTTCCTGACGGAAAAATGGCAACCGCTAAGTGGAAGAAGGGGACGCCAGCTAGAAAGCCTGTGTCTGCAGCCGCCAGAGGAACAGCGAGGCAGACCAGCAGCGTCACTAGATGCTAAAACTTGTGGGCAAAAGGATTTAGGAAACGGTCTCCAAGTTCCACTCCCCAGTTTACTGATTGGTTACAAAGGAGGAAGGTGCCTTCAGGTGGAGAGAGCTGGTGGGTGGATGCCACTCCTCAGGGGACCGAGCACAGCATCACCCGTGCAGGACAGATTGCCCTCGCGTGTCTCCTGGTGTCAGCCACTCTCCGCCCTTAGGTCTTTCTCCCGGAAGGCTCCACCCGAACCTTCCCGTGGGGACACACAATTAGACAAATACAGATTCTGGGAGGTGCTTCAAGACACCTGGGCTTCTTCAAAATTGAGTTATCAAAAAGCTAAGTAAGTAAATACTGAGGGCAGGGATATCGTTCTAGATCAAGGAAGTCTAGAGGGATATAATAAACATAGAATGCCTGGTCGATGAATCAGTTCCTGGGTTGGGAAAGAAAACAACTATAAAAGTCAACCTTAGGTGCAGTTAGAGAAATTTGAATATGAAACGATTATCAGGAAATAACATTATTTAATACTAAATTACTTAGGTATGCTAATGGTATTGTGATTACGTAGAGGAATGCCTTTTTACTTAGGAGGTACGTGCTAAAGTATTTAGGGATAAAATGTCATGGTATTTGCAACTTTCCGATGGCTCAGAAGCGTGTGTGGAGAAAGTGGAAGCAGGTGCAGCAGACAGATTAGCGGTTGATGAATCCAGATGAAGGATGTGCAAGTGCTCCTTGGTTTAAGTTTTTCTAAATAAAGATTTCAGGGGGAAATAATATGCATTTGTTGTTAAAAGAAAGACAAAGCAAGCAACACAGGAAAATGCAAAGGGAAACGTAAAAATCACCAGAATCCCTCTCCCCAGACATAACCGCGGTTGATAGTTCGGGTGGGCCTCCTTCCAGGTGTGGGCTCCCAGTTGATCTCTCGGTTCATCTCTCCACTTAACTGTCTACCCATTTAATGTCTCGTTTTTGGTACCCGCTTTTTTTTTTTTTTTTTTTTTTTTTTTTTTTTGCCCGTGGATTTTTTTCTGGAAGAAACCAGACTTGGTGCTTTAGAATACTTCGCATGCGGGATGTGGCTTCCTGCGCCCTCCGGGTCCGGCCAACGTGCTCCTCTCTCCCCATCATTTCCTGTAAAATAGGAGCCGGGAGCTGCACACCTGGTTAGATTTGGTTTCGTTTTTGGCGAGAGTACATCATAGGCATCACCAGTACTTCTGGTGCTTGACAGCTCATTGTCTTTCCAGTTATGTCAAAACATTTACATTGTTTCAGAGTCAAAATCGCAACAGTCCATTAAAGGGAGTCCAGTTTCTGCCCCTGTGGGCGGCGCCCAGCCCCTTCCCCTCCAGGTGAACTGTCCTTGTAAGCTTTTGGGGTTTCTCCTCCGTTATTTCTTCTTGAAATGCAAGCAGACGTGTTTGTATTTCCCTCCTCTTGCGCACCCAAGCCTCCTCCGCACACCCAGAACGGATCGTAGAGGTTCTCCGTGCCAGCACGTCCGAATCCCCGTCCTGCTTCAGCCGTGCCACACTCTGCTGTGGAGGGTAGGTGCTGCCGTGCTCTAGTCACCTGGCCTAGCCCTGCTAGACAAGGGGGGTTTTCCAGGCCTGCTACACATACTGCCAAAATCAGGAGCTTTGTGCGTGAAGCGTGTCGTATTCTTGCCAGTGTATCTTCGGGATGGATTTCTGGAAGTGACGCTGCATCTGGGCCAAAGGGCAAGTGCGTATGTAGTTGTGTGGGATATTCCCAAATTTCCTACCGTAGGGGCTTATGCCATTTTGCATTCCTAGCAGCAGCTTCTGAGGGATGCAGCGTCTTTTTGGTGGTGAAACGATAGGCTACGGCCTTGGAAAAGTAAGGTGGATTCAGGATTCGAGGGCTGCCTCTACGTCTTAACCGTGTGTCTCCGGACAAGCTGCTTGATGTCTCTGAACCTTGGTTTTCTGTCCGTCAAGTAGGGGTAGGAGTTGTTTCGGAGATCGCTCAGGATGACGCAGGCGAAATGCTGCGGAGTCCGGTGTATGGTGGACGCTCAGTAAGTGTTGACCGGGGATGTTCTTGTGACGGTCGTGCTCGAGATGAATGCCCAGCGTCATTTGTCCCTGAAAACTGAAAGGTGCCCACACTCTCGTCCCTCTGCCAAAACGGCCAGACACGGGAGAGCAGAAAGCCTTTGCTTTTTGGGCGGCAACCAGCTGAAAAGAAAAGAACTGCGTCTCCTTCGCTTTTACAGTTTCCATGTCTGGTTAAGTCCGTGGCTGGGGTTCTAATTTAAGTGTCAGAAGAGGTGGGACATGACTTGATATTTACTGCTGTCTGAGGCTGATGAGCCCTCAGTAAATACTTGGCAACTGACCTCCACAAGGGAGCACTTTGGGGTGGTCTTTCAGACGTGCGCCTCAAAGCCCTGTCGTTGTTGGGCATCGCTGACAGGGGAGGGGTGAGGATAATGACCCACCAATGCATTCATCTACCATAGAGTGGTTTCTCAGATAAAACGTAAAAGTAATAAACCATGCTAGAAGTTCTCGGAATTTTTACATGACATACTGATGAAACAAAGACTTAAGTTCTTGAGCAAACATGCGGTTTATGTTCTCCTAGTAGGGTGAACATTTTGTGACTGCCTCACCAACATGTTCTGTAGAGCTTACCCCCTAGGTTAGAATTTTTTTTTTTTTAACGTTTATTTTTTCTTGAGAGAGGCAGAGTGCAAGTGGGGGAGGTGCAGAGGGAGGAGACACAGAATCTGAAGCAGGCTCCAGGCTCCGAGCTGTCAGCACAGAGCCCGACATGGGGCTCGAACGCACAGGCCGTGAGATTATGACCTGAGCAGAAGTCTGACGCTTAACCGACTGAGCCACCCAGGCGCCCCCCTCCTAAGTTAGGGGTTTTTTTTTTTTTTTTTTTTTTGGGGTCTAAGATAGAATTTATAACCACAGATGGACTTCAGTGGGCCCCTGAAGTTGTATGTAGGGGGGTGTGTGTGTGTGTGTGTGTGTGTGTGTATACACCTGTGCACACGGGGGGGTGGTGAGCCCTCATAGTTTGCATTAGATTATCAGATAGATCTATGGCCTTAAAAAGACTTAGAAACTCAGTGGTAAGCCATATTCTTTTCTGTTTTAAAGGATGTTGCAGCTCGGGGTTTGGATCTCCCTCAAGTCACGTGGATTGTTCAGGTAATTTTTCAGTTAAGGTGTGAGCTCAAGGCAGGAATAAGCGATTGTGAGTAGATGAGCTGGCTTTAAGTGGAATAATTATTATTATTAGCCTCTCGGGTATTGCCCCGGTAACCAGGCAACGACCAGCCTTATCTGCCCAGTTCTCCAGGACCTTCCCCTAACACGGCCCACCTAGCCACTGCGGTGAAACGGCCAGGCTGAGCAGTTGCGGGAGGGAGGGGCAGACTCCCCTGCTCCCAGACTGACGCATGTCACACACAAAGTTTCAGCAATCTGAAAATAACAGGAATTACCCTGGCCCTTGGGAGGCCTCATTGTGTCCGGAAGGAGATGGCTCAGCCTGTCCTGAGAGCCGTGTCCGTGTGCATTGACCTGCAGGGGGCAATTAGGGCCTGACAACATCTTACACACACCTCTAGCCTTAGACGCTTTGCCAGAGGGCACAGGTGTTAGCACTAGAGTCTGGTGGTGTCAGTTTTGTTTTTTCTTTTCGTTAGTCTGCAGAATGGTATTTTTGAGCCTTTCTGTGTGGGGGCCAGGGGACACGTGCCCCATTTACGTGAGTCATGGTTTATTCACGTGTTAGTGGAATTGCATGCCTGTCACTGGCTAGGAGATCTGATCTGCTCGCTGCAGAAGACAGCCTCTTTTGGACCAGAGGCATTGTGGTTTCTTGCCTGATGGCCACACGGCAAAATAAAGATAAAAAGCAGGGTAACTTTAATGTGGGGGATGGGGCAGACACATAAACTTGATCGTTTAGAGCTTTTCTGTATTGTGAGGTGGATTACTTTCATGTGTCTGACATCCTCGTGTATTCTGTTCATTTTGGGCCTCTGATCTTTGATTTGTGTAGCTGCAAAGAAAAAAAACAAGGAAGAACGGAATATGGTCAGTTCCCATTTGTGATGATAAAGTTACTGCCACAGAAAATATGAAATGCTGAGCATAATGCATTCTGCTGAGTTAGAGTCTGCCCCCCACCGCCCCCAGGTCAGGAATGCTGTCCCCGGTAACGGAAGCAAGTCCTGCCAGAGGGGAACCTGCCTCACGGCTGCCCCGCAGCTCTCCCGGTTCCATTGGGATTGGGTGTCACTGCGGTGAGATGGCGGGCACCGGCTCCCGGTGGCCCGGCAGCAGAGCTGAGCTCTGATTAGATTAGCCAGCCTCTTCCTCCTGACCCCGTCCAGGCCTCTATGGCCTCAGCCTCACCGCCGCGTCTGCCGGCCAAGGTCACTCGGTCATCCTACCCCGCCTGCCTCCGTGTTCACCTTGCACGGTCACCTCTGTGGAAAGATGCAGATAGGAGACTGAAGAGACCTGTGGAGAAGTAAAATTACAAAGGAGATACTGGGACGGGAAGGCGCTCGCTCATCGGGAACTTGGCCGCTGTTCACGCTTCGTGTCTGAGCCTTGTTATTTCCAATGAAGGCAGGGCTTTCAGGCTTGAGTGGCTTCTCCTTGGGGTTGTGTGAGGGTAACCATAGCACCGGGATTTCATTCTTGGGCTACCTGGAGGCAGGTGAGGGGTATTGCACTTCCAATTAATGGCAATGCCTTGATCTGTGAATGCCTTCATTTTCGTTACCCTTTTTAGTACAACGCTCCGTCTTCGCCTGCTGAATACATCCACCGGATTGGGAGAACCGCCCGGATTGGCTGCCGTGGGAGCAGCCTGCTCATCTTGGCTCCTTCGGAGGCAGAATATGTCAACTCGTTGGCTTCTCACAAAATCAAGTGAGTCAGAAACCTGAACGCGGTTTCAGCTGATCTCACCTAATTAACTTTCTGTCGCTTTCTACAGTGGATGGGCCTTGTAAGCTGACGAAGAGCCATTAACCCTTGTGATCTCTAAATGGGTCCCAGAATAGCCAGTGGCGAACACTGAGCCCTTCACGCCGTCAGCACATGACAGTCTTCACTGCGTTGCCACACAAAGTCACGGAGCGATCTGTTGCACTTGGTTTTTCTTTAAGATAGAGGTCCATGTTTCCTATTCCTTTTCTGTACAATTCGTGTGCACAGCCCTCACAGCCAGCTTCCTGAAGACCTGCTTCATTCAGTTTTCATTTTTGCGCACAACGTTCTGTGCCTCTAAAGGTGATGTGTCTTAGAAAAACAAAGAATGCTGGTGACTCATCACAAAGCCCGCCACCACCAGGAAGATGAACCCAGGGAGGAAATCTCTGGGGGCAGCTAAGGTGCCCGCGTAGCCTCACAGCCGCCATGCTGTCACTCCAGTCGGGGCCCCCGCGGACCCAGACCTCGCTCTGGAAAGACCAGCAAAGTGAAGACCGAGAACAGCCTCTCGACCTGGCCGAGCTGAGTATGAGGAAGGCAGAAGGAGCTCGCCTGGGCTGCAGAAACGTGTTCCGAACGGCGTCCGGCACCTGAAATAACCAGTGCTAGTAACAGACTGCTAAAGGCGTGCGGTTTTTCACACTGGCCTGCTCTCGAGAATTTCTCCTGCTCACGTAGCGCGGTGATGCGGAGCGTGGTTCGGAAGGCACGGGGAGAGTCGTGCGCGTGTGCCCAGGAAGGTAGGGCACGACTCGTGCCACGCGCGGGAGCCCCGATGGCCACCCGAGTTTTGCTTGGAACCAGCGCTGTGACACCAGCCAAGCCCAAGGGCCTCCTGTCCCGGTGCTTTGCCTCACGCAGCCCCACGTGTCATGTGAAGCAAGAGGACCACGGTCTCTCGGTCTAAAGTACAGAGCTGGCAGGGTCCTTGCGTTCTGCATGTGCATCGCAGCTCCCAGGCAGGCTGCCTGGGACCTGGCCTGGGGACCAAGTGCAGGCCACCCACTCAGAGAGCTGCCTGGGGCCACCCCACCTGCAGAGTTCTCCCTGCTTCTCTCCCTCCCTCCCTTTCTTCCCTCCCTCCCCTCCCTCTCCTTCCTCCCACCCTCCCTCCCTCCCTGTACCCTGGGCAGACCTAGTAGGGCAGTCTTGGGCCTGCTCGTGGGAACATCTGTGGGTTGGGGCGTCCTCAGGAAATGTGCCTTGTGTACACCCTTCAGTGTTGGGGAGGCAGGAGCCTCATGGTGATTTCTAGTGGGCCAAACTAACGCTCGTTTGGGTTTTCCTTTCGTTTGATGTCTCATCTTAAAACAACGTAGCCACCGAAAGAGTGGTTTTATTTGTTTCAGGAAGACTGCATATTTGATGTTACTTGTAAGAGGAATTCTGTTGGTCAGTTGGTCAATCACGTTTCACCAGTAACAACTTCTCGGGCTGGATTCTGAGTGCCTGGAGCTTCAGGATGGCCAGCCGTTCTCTCCGGTGCTTTCCGGTCCTAGGGTGGCCACTGGGCAGCTGTACCCTGGAAGTGGGGGGTTGAATGAAAACCCACGGACGTAACCCCTTTTCCTGTTGTCTCTTACCCCGTTCTCACAGGCTGGGGACCTGTCCCGGCACTGCCGCTGTTTTCCTATAGCACAGGGACTTGTTGAGCCTCAGAACACGTTTTCAGAGCCGTGTGCTGTCGTCCACGGGAGGACATATAGTCCCTTCACCTTGGCGGCCTCTTATCCCCTGGCTGCTTCCCCCCCCCCCCACCCTGTGTTCTAGACTTACAAGTTCACGCTCCCTGCGCCCTCTGTTCCTTCCTGTTCACGGCTCCTGGATGTTTGCCCGCGCTCATTCACTTTGACGCAATAAGCTCGGAAAAGTGCGTGCCAACGGTCCTGCAGTCACATGATAATTGTCCAGCCCGGAGTCACCCGCACAGATGCCCCTGCCCTCAGATTTCCTTAACAAACGCATTCAGGCTGATTGCTCTGAAAGATTCAAATGAGAGCCTAAATTTAAAAAGGGAAAAGAGGAGCACTTGGGTGGCTCAGCTGGTTGAGCATCTGACTCTTGGTTTCGTTCAGGTCACGACCTCACAGTTCATGAGATCGAGCCCCACGTCAGGCTCTGTGTCAACAGCGTGGGGCCTGTCGGGGTTCTCTCTCTGCCCCTCCTTCTCCCTCTCTCTTTCTCCCTCTTTCTCTCTCAAAAATGAATAAATATTAAATTAAAATGGGAAAATAATAGCCACGTGTATTTTGAAGATATAAAGAGTACAGTCGTTCTCTGTGATGGTCTCATCTGGAAAAAACTGTGTCAGCAGCACTGGTGGGAAATCCGGCATCATGGGATTCACGTGCAGGAGACCGCTCCGAGACTCCAGTGATTCGCGATATTTGGACTTGCGAGGGAAGTTCAGAAGCATGAAGACAGAAGTACCCAGAGGAAGAGATTTGGGTCTCTTGTGGAGTGAACATCTACTCGAGGGGGAAAGAGCCCTGGAGGGGCCCGGCCTTGCTCGTTTCTGCCCTGAAAATGCACCTGCTGAAGCTTCTATACCTGAACCTGCTTTGTGGGCCTGATATAACCAACCCCCCCCCCCCCAAAAATATCAGACCTAAGTTACAACGTTGCAGCCATGAATGATGCTTCCAGATTTGTGTCTGAGGAAGAGATCAGTGTTGGGTATCTATGTATAAGCTGTTTTGTACTTAATTCAAAAAATTACACCTAGGAAGAACTAATTACAAAGTGTGCTGTGGCAACAAGCAGACTTGAACCAAAAGTTACTCTGCTAAATATTCCAAAAAAAGAAAAAAGAGAAGGAAGATGTGTGTATGTATCGTGCGTAAGAACCTGGGAGCCGGGCAGCCGGATGCTGGGAAGGCTGATGAATTACAGGGAAGATTCAAGAAGGCAGGCTGAGGCGCTCGGCAGCAAGGGCCATCACAACAAATTGCTGCCTGCCTTCAGACGCCGAGCACTGTGGACCTCGCCCTGACAGTGTAATTTAGCAGACGGGGCAGGAGACAGGCGCCCTGGGCCGCTGCCACCTCAGCCCGAATGCTCAGGACTTTGTTTCTGCATCCTTTGGAGTCCCTTGTATATGCCAATCTCTTAACCGATTTCCGCTTCCCTTTTAAACGCATTTCTAATGAAAGTCGTCATTGGTTTGTTAAAATGTAAATGCCAACTGTGTATCTCTTAGATCAGGCATAGGACAGGTCCCTGAATTTATTTCTCTACCTTCTCATGGTAAGGCGGGGCGGTTCAGATCTGCCGATAGAACCATAAACAAGCAGAGTAGATTTGCTTTGTTCCTCAGAAGCCACCCGATTTCTGAGAACAGGAGGAAGGCCCTTTTAAACTGTAAATCACTCCAGTTCTTTCTCTGCTGCCGTTCACTTGCGGTGACCGGCCCCCAGCACTGTCACAGGGAGACACACGGCAGAGGGGTGCCCGGCCCGAGCGTCGGCCCAGACACGCCCCCGGAAAACCGCGCCTCTCTGTGGTGTGTTTAGTTCTTTGTATCCCTGACTCCAAGTGGCCTTATTCTTGGTTTCTTTCTCCCTGCTTCAGAATCTCACCCCGAGTCCTTCTGTTCCTTTTCCTTTCCTCCTGAAGAAAACGAGTGATGCACAGAGGCAAGTCCGTCAAACGAAGAAAAAGCTAGGACCGTGCCATGCTGTGCGTTCACCTCCAGATCCTCCCGCGTCAACAAGAGGCAAATTCAGTGGCCACGGCATTTCTGTCTCTCATGAAAAATACATTTTCTGTGAAATCACGAGCATTTTCCCCCAAACTCCTACCCTCGCAGTACGTGCTCTGCCTCCTCGGGTTGACTCCTGCTGTAAAAAGATTTCACGGCTCCGTGGGGCTGTGAGCTGGCAGCACAGGGGGGAGAGTGTGGAGGGGCGGGGCTGGGGGTGTTCAGGGAAGCGGTGACACATTTCAGGTAGATCGCTGTCAGAGACGTGACATTTTCATTCATAGCTTTGTCAGCGTAACCTTTGGGGGAAAGGGGGGGGAATTGTCTTCTCCCACCTGAGAGGTTGCCATTCATGTTTTAATTTGCTGTTACGTTAAAAAAAAAAAAAAAAGAAACAACATACAAGGAAATCATTTATCTTTTTATGATCTGTTTTTCTCCCAGAACTCCTCCTTCCCCTTTTTTTCCCCCCCTCCCTGGGAAGTATGTTTTCAGCAACTCCTGTTTCTTCCTTAGGCTGTAGTACTTGATTGTGTGCTCACTTGCTGTGTTTGAACGCTGTGGCCCGCAGACTGGTGGAAGCGGAGCCTGGGCTGTGCGGGGCCACAGGGCCGCGAGGCGGGTCGACCTCTTCTCCTGGCTCAGGCTGGCTTCTGTTCACAAGCGAGGCCCAAATTCTGAGCTCAGCCGTTTGCACACAGCTCTGCATGCGTCAGAGGTCCTCTGTTCCTCACCCCTTCATAACGAAGGTGTAAGAGCGTAGACAGACTTCTGGATACGTGAGAAGAGAGTTCGGGGGCTGCGGTCACTTGTTGGCCTTCCCTGAGGAGTTGACCCCAACAGTTACAGACCTTTAGCCACACCACTCCCCTCCCGCCTCCGGCCTGGCCTTTTTTTTTTTAATATAAAACTAAAGGGACTAAAGGGACTATCTGGGTTGTTCTTTTCTTCACTTTCTCATGTGCTCGTGTCAAGGTGTAGTATATTAATAAGCAGGCCTGCTTTGTAGTGTTTGAGACTCACTAAGAAATAATGGTGGGATGCCCACAGAGGAAATTCTAAACGTAGCCTATTTGGAAGTCGCCAGAGAGGAGGAGAGTGTTGCGAATATGACCCCTTCTGTCCTTGTCATGTCCTAGAGGTTGCTGCCTTCCAAACTCCTGAAGGTTTAGGAAACAATTCCTTTCCGTGAAGGTGTAGTTTCTGTTTTACATTGAAGTAGCTTGAGAATAGGCCAGTTTTATGCATTGAGATTCCGGATGTTGCTGAAGGTAGCAAGTTTACCTTGACGTGCCCTTCCTTTTACAGCGTGTCTGAGATTCACGTGGAAGACATTTTGTCTGTTCTGACAAGGGACGGTTGTTTGAAAGGGAGCCGACGGGGAACCCAGGTGAGTGTCATTATTTATGATACTTGCGGTGAACAGACACGACTCACTTCTTGATTTGGGGTGGTGGGGCTACTGTGTGTGGGGTAGTTAGTTCCTTTGTTGAGCAGACGTGTGTATCTCAGGGGCCATGAACGTTAGATGAGGCCACATCGTGATTGTGTTTTCTCCTCTCTGCTCCTGGACGCGTTTTCTGGTCTCATCCCGTTAGCGGGTGACCTGTCCATTCTGGAAGCCCGCAAGGCCGCAGCAGGCTCCCAGTGAGGAGGCCTCGTCCTGGCCCACAGTGAGTTTGGAGGCAGTGTTACCTGCTCAACCCTGGTGCCCCCATCCTGATTCTCAGCAAAGACTGCTGATTGACCCATCCACCCGTGACAGCACGGAAGAAACTGGTGTCTCTGCGTCTCCATGCAGACACACGTAGTTCATCCGTTTTTTAATGTGTGTGCCACACACAGAGGAAGAGTAAAGTTGAGATCATCAAAAGGAGACATTGGTGTTATCCATGTGGTTCCACACGGGGACCCTGGGTACCCTATCCTGCGGCCCTCCCATGACTTTCCCCCTGCTAGGTGGCTGCTCCCCACTCCCACTCTAGCCCTGTACCCACTGTGTCACAGATATGTGTGTGTCACGTTGCTGTATGTAGTTTTGTCTATGAAACATTAGTGATTTGAATATTTTACATTTGTTTAAGTCTGAGCATAGACTGGAAAATGAGACCAAATAGATCAGGCTTAATTAAGAGTTTCTTTTATGCATCAAGTAGCGTCTTTATTTGGATCAATACTGTCCCTGGGGCTGGGACCTGACTTGACTGGCCCTGACTTAAGCCCTCTTGTTCCAGAAAGAACCTAAGGAAATGTATCAACAAAAAGGCAGGGAAACCGTCACAGCGTGTGTCCTGTGCCCGGGACTGTGCTACACTCTTCATGGTTTGGTCCTGTTTAATCCTCCCAGCAGCCCCACCAGGCGGGTGCTCTCGTCCCACTTCCCAGATGAGGAGACTGAGGTCCGGAGGGCTGAAGAAACGTCCACAGGGACGCAGCCTCCGGTGCGGTGGAAGCAGGCAGCCTGACTTCAAAGCACGTGCTCTTTGCTTCCATTGATACAGATGAAAGCACGGCAGTGGCAGCAGCTAGCTGTTCAGTTAGGTAATGTCAGCCCTCGCTAGGTGAGACGTGGTCAACAGACGACGCCACAACAAATATCCCATAAACCAAAGAAGCAGGGACAGACTCAGTTGATCAACAAGTTGTTTTAAACCGTGTTTCGTTAGAAAACATCCCTGCCGCGCTAGACTTTGGAACATCCCATATTAATAGTTTGTTGTCAAGGGAACGGACCAGTCACCAAACAGACGCTCGTTGGTCCTGGCACGCTGCTGTTCTGAAGCTACTGCAGATTCTAGGAAGGGTTTTTTCATGTTCCCTCAGACACTTCATTACAGCCCCAGGACCATGGGCAGTGTAGCAGAGGTTAAGGGCATGGCCTCAGGGTCCCCAGCTCTGTGGCTCTCGGCAAGACTGGACGTCCCTAAGCTGTGGTTTCTTCTTATGTAAAACTGAGATCATGTTAGTATTCTTCTTAAGGAGATTGGAGGACTGAGTAAGAAATAACCTGAGAACCCCAACACAGGTACTGAAGGGTGTTCATCGTCATCATCAGCTAGTAGCAGATGTAGAGTTCTGAGTCCAGACTCCGCGACACGAAACCCGGTGCTTGTTGCTGTGGCACCGGCGAACGTTAGCCTCTGCCTGCTGGCCAGAAGTAAGAGCAAGCGGTAAAGTTACAAGAAAGTTACAAAGAAAGTAAAGGTTCGGTCAGATCTCCTCTTACACCATTTCTGGGACTGACTCTGTTGGTGTTTGTCCCTGAACCGAGCACACATTGTTCGGTCCAGGGAGAGCTGATCATCATGTGGGTCTGCAGAAGGAGCGTCTCCTGCGGATTCCCCCCCCTAGGGAGGGAGCCAAGCAGCCGCGGTGCCCTCTGCTCTTCCCCGAGCGAGCCACGGCCGTTTCCCAGCCCCCGGCCTTCCAGGGCCTTGCGTATCTACTCCCACGGAAGCAGAGGCTTCCTTGGCACGAGGCCGGCCTTGAAGCCTTGCTCGAGGGGGGGGCTCGGGGACACTTCGTGTAGGGGCCGGGGCCCCAAGGCAGGCAGGCTTGGGTTCCAGACCATGCTTCACGGCTGGTGGTTCTGCAACCAGAGTGCCCGTCACGTGGGTTGCTGTGGAGCTGACCTCTAAAACGAGGCGGGCGGCGCTCTGTATGCTTCTGGGCCGTGGCGGTTCATCCCAGCCCCAAGCTCCTGCCTTGATGGACGGGAACCAGTAGGATGTTTTTATGTTTTTAAGGAGTGGTAAGCTTTGTTTTTAAAAAGAAAAAACACTCGGCGAGGTGGGCTTTCACTGACCCCAAACTAACAGGTTAGCCTAGAAAACTAATCGTACTACAGGCCCCGGGTGACATGTCGATGAAAACCTGGCCTGTTTAGTTAACCAAATTTAACTTCAATTTGAAGGCCAAAGGGAAACTCCGTGAAACTGACTCTATTACTAATTGTCACACAGATCTACAACCCGAAAGAGTGTTTTATGTGTGTGTGATCTGCGTGAGTAGTGAAAAGAATAAAGTAGATGCTGGATACAACTTTTAGTTCTGTTCCTCATAAGAAACACGGCGTGTTTTAATTGCCGTTCTCCATGTGGGCGGTTCCGTCTAGCCCATGAACCAGTGCCGGACAGATAAATGTGAGCTCGGTAAATAGGCCTTTTACACACATAGCCAGACACCTCACTGTAAGGCCTTTCTTCTCACTCGATTGAAGTCCATTGTAAATGTCCCTTTGGCACATACATTTTTGGGCTTCTGTGAACAGAAAGAGAGTGAGTGAAGCATCTGTAAAATGTATATTTCATATTTAGGTATATAAAATATATATAGCTACGTCTGGGTGTGCGAGTGTTCACCCACCTACAAAGAGAATAAATTTGATCTTTCAACTTTACTGGGAAGCACTCAGATGGTTCTAGAGAAGCATGAGGGTGAAACTCAGCTTGGTAATAAAGTGATTAAAACAGTCCTTCCGTTTAGTTTAAAAACACTTTAGAAGTTAGCAATGGGCACGTTTCCAAAAAAAAAAAAAAGAAAGAAAAAGGCACCTCCCCTACCACGGCCACCACCTAAAACTTTTTACAACAACCACAGAAAATCCAGCCCAAGTATCTTCAACTCGTGTGTTGCCTCGACAGGCATGAAATTTTCATCTTCAAAGTACGCGCGCACCCAAACATGCTTTTCCTACGAGGTTTTTTTTGGTTTTTTTGTTTTTGTCCTATGAAATATGCCTGTAAACGGACCTTAGCAAGAGACTGGTGCAGGGTCAGGTATTCAAATGAGATCAGCAGCCCCCTCCCTCCGTCCTAGTGCTCAGTCCTTGCACTCGGCTGTTCTCTCCAGGGTCGGTAGGGCTTTACGGACCAGGGAATGCTGAGTGTGGGCCGTTGGAGACGTGTTTTCCTAAACTAGCCCCGGCCTGCTGGTCCCAGGTTAGCTTCGTTAACCAGCACTGCGTCTGTGTGTCTTTGAGGGGTGGGTGTGCCTCCGGGCTTTGACCCGCTCTCATTACGGGAGTGTTTCACCTGTCGGGGCTGAGACGCTGGCGTGCACACAACTCTGCCCCTGCCTTCAGTTTAAATTTAGACCGTCCTCCCCAGAAGACAACTGAAAAACACCTCATTCTCAAGAGGGGTAATTTTAAAATAAAGTATTTCTGGAAGTGGAGGGGGTAGGGAGAGGAAGACGTGCTTTTTCCTGAGTATATTATGTTTTCTGCCATTAACTTTTCCTTACATTTTACTGAAACTGACCTCATCATTTCAAACGTGTGAACCTAGTCTTATTGCCTTTTCTCCACCTATTTCACTTGTACACACATTATCTATGTGTGTGTATGTATTTTTTTTTTTGGTTGGGAAGAAAAGATGCCTCATTTTGAAACCTAAAGGGGGAATAAGAAAAGCCCTTTGTAATATATTGCCATATTATCACTAAATCCCCTGACAGTTGTGACACAGAAGTAAGTCACCTGTCACTTAAGCTTGAGGTCTCTTTAATTTTCTCCTGGAATTCGCACCAGGCTGTCTTTAATTTGAGGCCTTTATTGGAATTCTGAAACCTCTCTGCCTCCCTGGCTCTCAGATCTATTCTGAGAGCTGTTACAGAGTGTATACAATAACCAACAGAGGGATTCGAGCGGGCTGGAGCTCTGTTTATCTAACACTCTAGAGGGATTTTTGTGCTTATTCGGGCCTGGCTGCCCGGCTTTCAATATCGCTTTGACAACCATTCTGCCCTTCTCATTAATTTTAAACAGTTAAAACACAGGAAAAAGAGGAAAAAGTTTTCATTATTAAAGTGCTTTACTTTTTAATAACAGAGGATTCTGTCCGCCAGGGGAAAGGGCATCCTCGCTAATTTCACATTCATATTAAAAAAAACACACACACACACAAGGAAGGTGACAGTTGCGTTGCTGAGGTGGCTTAACGAAAGGAGGACAGCAAAAAAAAAAAAAAAAAAAAGTTTGCATTTCACATCAGTTAAGAGGGTAAAAAAAAAAATCCTTGTTAATGACAATAGCAAATGTCCACTTTCATAACACAGCTCCTGAGTGACTTTTCTCTTGACATTTGAGTGGATAAAACCCTTAGGGGGACCATGTACTGTGAAATCAGCTAGACTGTCATCAACCGAACAGGTAGCAGGAGTGATTTGACTAAGCTAAAAACATTTTCAGGTTGTTAAGTCTCTATTAATACAGAGACGGACACAGACCCAGAGAATGAGGCTTTTTCTCCTCTCCCCTTTGTTCTTCCTCTGGCAGCCTTAAAGGTGAGAGACTCAGGAGCCACAGCTAGGCACGGTCAGCCTGTGGTCAGCCAGACACAGGCGCCAGCCCCTGTCCTCCCCGGGGGTGAAGGGAAGCACAGACTGGCTGTTTTCTTGGTGACCCATGCCCACAGTGGGTAGTGGTTACCGTAGAGGCTTTATAGAATCACTGGGACAGTCCGCGTCTTCCAGGAGACCTACTAGCCAAATTGAGTTGGAGAATCTTCGTTCTCTGGCATCTCAGTTTCACATTCAGGAGAAAGCACTCATGGTTGTTTTAAGACGTAGGAGATGGGGGGGGGGGGGGGCCCCGGGGGGGGGAAGACAGGGGGGTGTGTGAATATTTATCGCGGGGTTATGTGGTCGCCCCCCATAGGGGGGTAAGATTATTTTTTAAAAAAAAAAAAAAAAAAAAGATACGGGAAACAAAACACACTCAGTTTTAGGGGAATATAAAGAAAGGAAATCTTGGGGCGCCTGGGTGGCTCAGTCGGTTGAGCGTCCACTTCGGCTCGGGTCATGATCTCACGGTTTGTGATTTCGAGCCCCTCATCGGGCTCTGTGCTGTCAGCTCAGAGCCTGGAGCCTGCTTTGAATTCTGTGTCCCCCTCTCTCTCTTCTCCTCCCCCACTCACGCTCTGTCCCTCTTTGTCTCTCAAAAAATGAATAAACGTTAAAAAAAAATTAAAAAAAAAAAAGGAAATCTTTTCTCTGGGATTGCTGAAGAATGAAAAGGATATCATTTTTCTATTTTATTAACGTTTTCCATCCGTAGAACTTGAGCGTGTACAGATGTCGCTCCTGAAACCAGGACGGCCAGCTGCAGAGACCGAGTGGCCTTCTTGGAACGTGGTGTGAAGGGACGGCCCACTCCTCGATAGGTCCCCGGCAGCCAGCACAGTGGCACGGTGGTCCCAGGCTGAAAGAATGGATCCGAAACACAAGTCACAGCCTCCCTAGGAATGAGGGAGCATGCTCTGAAATTCAAGGATAGGCTAAATTTTAGGCAGGCCCCGGGGTAGGGGGGGCACTCCCGAGAGGCTGTTCCCTTGTTCCCCTGAGGAGTGAGAGGGAGGGGGAGGATTTAAGGCCTCCGTAAGACCCAAGTCCTGTGAAACCTACCCACCTGTCCACGTCCCGTGATGTTTTAAGTGCCTGAATCGGACTCGGAAAATTCCAGAGTGTCTCCGGTGGGCTTTCATTTTGAACGTGAGTGACAAGAGGCCAGGAGGACCAGTCAGTAAACAAGTAAATAAGTAAATAGACCCGATCTGCCCCCTCACAAAGCTGTCTCCATCTTTGCTTGACTTTAACATCTTTATAGCTCCCGTTTTTCCTCTAGTAATATTGAAAGGATTACCCTTGTTGGCCCCTCGGTGGTTACCGAGTGATTTTACTGTTATTAAATCTATTATAAAGTGCTTCATTATTCCTGACTCTGACTCTGTCTCTTCTTTAATCCTTCCGCCACCCTCCCAGAAATCCCGTGCCGCTGGCCCCCAGGAAATCCAACGGCGAGCCACGGTCTTGCAGACGGTATTTGAAGATTACGTGCACTCCAGTGAGAGGCGGGTCTCCTGGGCAAAGAAAGGTGCGTGGATTTCGTAGGTCCTTGTGGATGGAAAGCCCTCAGAGCTCCGTCCCCACCTCCACCTGCACACCGCCAACGGGCTGAGAGGCCAACCGGTGGGTGGGGGCGGCGGGGGGGGGGGGGAATGTCTCTGCTCACCAGCTAAAGCCTTCAGCCTCGTTCTGCAGGGTCTGGACGCAGGCGTGGAAGGCTTTAAAGTGATATTAAACGTTCACTTCATCCTTCCCCATGTTTTGCACAAATGAGGCTTTATCTTGGCTTACGTAGAACTAGAACTTTGACCCATGGATCTCAGGGATCCATTTTTCTCTTTGAAAACTGAAGAGACGTGACCGCGTCAGCAGAGACTGTTGTAGAGATGGAAATTAGGGATGAAGGTAAGGACTGGAGGCATCAGACCCGAGCAGTCTCTGTTTGGAAGTACAAAGGAAAGTGAGAAAGAACAGTGCTGAAGAAAGGCCATAGACCTTGAACCCAATTCCTAGGAAATTTACAAAAGACTCGGGTACTTATTTAATATCCAGGCCCTTTATAGGATAAGTTGGCACCTGGGATCACCAGGCATTAGTGGGAACTCAGTAGTTCACTGGAGAACACTGAGAGAGCGTGGGGGGAGGGGTCTTAGAACAGCTGGATGTTTCCTATGGCAGGAAGTCGCGTGTCGTGGCTGGTGATGGTCTTGTGTGTGTGAATAAGACGCAGTCCACGTTGGAGGCCCCTCACTTCTTTTTGATAGTTACTTTGTTTTGAGAAGGATGCCAGGCTGTCTTGCCAGTGTGTAAACTCTATAGCATCATCTTTTTCCTTTTATGAATTGAGATTTTTTTTATTTCAAAAATTTTTTTAATGTTTGTTTTTGAGAGAGAGAAAAAGAAAGCATGAGCGAGAGGGGCAGAGAGAGAGGGAGACACAGAATCGGAAGCAGGCTCCAGGCTCTGAGCTGTCAGCAGAGAGCTTGACGTGGGGCTTGAACTCACGAACCGTGAGGTCATGACCTGAGCTGAAGTCAGATGCTAAACTTCACTGAACCACCCAGGTGCCCCAGTTGAAATTTTTAAAAATCATTTATTTAACAAATACTTATTGAACTGGGCACCGTTCTAGGTGCTTGGGATACATCAGGAATCAAAGCAGATGGAAAACCTTTCTAATATTCTAGGTGGGGCACAGATAATGAGCATAGTTAAAATAGTCTTTTAAAAGGTGTTGAGAACTGTGGGAAAAACAAAGGTAAGAGAAGTGAAGGGGTGTCTGGGCAGACTGCGTTTTACATGGAGGGTCAGCGTGAGCCCTGCTGTGAGGGCAACATGAGCAAGTCGAGGGTCATCAGCTGCTGCGACAGAAAGGGCATTCCCAGAGAGGGCTCGGAGGTGGGCGGGGGGGGGGGGGAGCAGTGTGTCCACAGGAAGGAAGGGAAGGCTGGCGTAGCAGAGGCAGGCTTGGAAGCTGTCGAGGGCTTTGGGGTCCCCTGAGTGCAATGGGAGCCATTGCAGGACTTGGAGCAGAGATGTGGCATGGTCTACAGGGGTCGGAAAAGACTGCCTATGTGAGAATAGAATCTGGGGGGCAAGGGTGAATGCTGGGGGACTGGTTACAGACAGTTGTGGCCATCAGGAAATAGATGACAAGAATGGGCTAGTCAGCAAACGGTTTTGAGTGCCTACCGTATACCTTGGCACATCACGAAAGCAGCCCTTGGCTGTTGCCACCACACTGGACCAAATGAGAACTACACAGGAGAAAAGATGAAGTCCCGGCAGTGGCCCTGTCCCCGATGCTCCGTAGGTAGCGTGTGTCCTGCTGGACGGGTTTCTAACAGCAGGCTGTCCTGACATTTCCCAAAAGTGAATTCAACAATTCCTGAGGGTTTTCCTAAGAACCTGCCTTCAGTGAAGTACTGGCACGTGTCTCCCGAGAGGAACGGATGGCTTGTCACAGTGTAACTGGAGATGGGTCGTTTGTTGACAGGCGAGGTGAGCTTGCTGGGTGGTGCACGTCCAGCTGTGGCGCCGCGGAATTTCTGGCTTCGTAGCGCATTGCGATGAAAAGCAAGAAAGCCCCCCGTCCTCTTCACCTTTGGTTTTGACGCCAGAGGTGGTTGAGGTGTCTCACTCTAGTGAGACTACAGCCTTCTTCAGGTGTCTGGGTCACCAAAGTAAGGCTGTCGTGGCATCCTTGGAGAGTGTGGTTACCACTGAAGTCGTTAATACCAAGAAGCAAGCGGAGCTCCTGGTTTTCTGTCTTTTTTTTCCTAGTATCACTTTTATTTTTTTTATTTCTACTTACTAAACATGACATGAGACAGAACATGCAAGTGGGGGGAGGCGCAGAGAGAGAATCCCAAGCAGGCTCCACGCTCAGCACTGAGTCCGACGCGGGGCTCGATGCCACAACCCTGGGATCATGATCTGGGCTGAAATCAAGAGTCGGATGCTCGACCGACTGAGCCACCTGGGTGCCCTACTTGCCTTCCTTTTAAAGGGTACCTGAACGGGGCCACTCTGCAATGTTTAGGTACCAACAAGGAAATAAACCTGCATTTCTCTTCTCTGCCAATTGATTGCCACGTCAGATTGGTGGTGGTCTGGGAGGAAAGTGCCCTGTTCTAGATCTCGGCGTCTCCACACTTTGCTCCCCTGGTGCTTAGCATGGTGAGTTCTGGAGGTCTGGCGGAGGGGGGTGCGTACACGCACTTGCTACGGCAGAGGTGTTCAGTTCACAAGGGGACAGCGACCGCACCCCGGAAGTCGAAACTGTCTTCTGCATTTCGTCTGCATATGCAGATTCCCCACTGCTGACTTGCCTCCGTTTTATTTCAGAACCCACCTCATGAATAATTAACAAAGCAGCTGGTTTTTGCCTTTATGGCAGAAAAGTAGTTGGAAACTGGGCCAAGTATGCATTTGTCTTCCTGTTGCATTTTCTGGCCCAGTCGTTGTTAATAACCAGCATTTAATTGTTGTCAGTTTCCAGCAGCAGTCGCCCCTTTTTACCCTCATTTCTTTCCTTTCTTTCTTTTTTTTTCCTTTTAGAAGGGGCGGCAGAGAGAGAGAGAGAGAGAGAGAGGGAGAGAGAGGGAGAGAGAATCCCAAGTAGGCTCCATGCTGCCAGCGCAGAGCCCAACACAGGGCTTGAACCCACAAACCATGAGATCACGACTTGAGCCAAAACCAAGTCAGATGCTTAACTGACCGAACCACCCAGGTACCCCTTTTCCTTCATTTCTTGCCTCTGTTAGCTAGAGATCCCAGTGGTTAAAAACTGGTTTGAACTTGGGGTGCCTGGGTGGCTCAAGCGGTTAAGCATCCGGCTTTGGCTCAGGTCACGGTCTCGCAGTCTGTGAGTTCGAGCCCCGTGTCGGGCTCTGTGCTGACAGGTCGGAGCCTGGAGCCTGCTTCGGATTCAGTGTCTCCCTCTCTCTCTGCCCCTCCCCTGCTCACGCTCTGACTGTCTCTGACTTTCAATGATAAATAAACATTAAAAAAAAAATTAAAAAAAAAAACTGGTTTGAACTTAAGACTCCTGAACAGAAGTTTTGGAAACTGGGGTCCTTTCCTCACAGAAGACGGCTTTCCTGTGGTGGTCCTTCAGCCTCAGGTCTCCCTGAAGAGCAGGGACCACGTGCGGAGGAGCCGTGCCTGGCTTGCAGGGCTGTTGCTGAGAGTCCAGAAAACCCAAACCACCGATGACAGATCAGCCGCTCCCTCAGTGCAGTCCCAGGTAGGCAGGTACTCAACCGAGTGTGCCTTTACTCCGTACAGATGTGTGTTCTTCTGGGGGCAGGGCCGAGGTTCCCTCCCAGGCTAGAGTCCCGCTCCTTCCTACCTCCTTGATCCTAAGTATCATCCGTAAGATACTACTGTTCTTGGTCAGATGTCCAAGAATAAATCTGATTTTATGAACAAGGATGAGGTGTCCGTGTGGGGTATTTTAAAATAGGTTTCCCTTAATGCATCTCCCTTACGGCTGTGAGATGGGAGCCCGCGACTACGGAGCGCGTGCTATAAGTGGCCACGGCTTCTTCCGCCATCTCAAGCAAGTGCCTTCTTTCTCTGCTCTCCACTCCTCCGGGTCCCCCAGCCCCCACTTCCGCCACCCGTCCTTGACACCGCCCCTCGGCAGGGTCTGCAGACAGCTTCTGCTGCTCCTGAAGTTCCTGCCTCTCTGAACCATCAAAACGTGGGAGTCCATTCAAGGATGTGAGGACAGCCCAGTATCGTTGTCCCCAGTGAGACAGCCTTAAGGACAGGCAGGGTTGGTAAACATATGCAGTGTGAAATGCTGCCTGAGCGCTTGTGGAGGGAGAAGACACGTCTGCCGTTTCTTGGAAAACTTGTTAGCTGGGCGCCCACGTCTCTGAGACAGAGGCTGTCCCTCCTTGGCTCCTCGGATTGGTGAGGGAATGGGAGGTTGATCTGCCTAAGTGGGACAGTGGTGGTCATGAGGAGGCCTGGGCCAGCGTTCGGGGGACTGAGATTGTAAAAGTGCAAACTCTTTGGCTTGACCTGACTTGGCATGGTTTCGGTCTGTTCTTGTTTTTAGAGGAGAGTAAATATGGAGGGTCTGGAAAGAAAGGGGTGTAGAGAAGAGGTGTAGAGCATCTCCTGGGCGGTAGCCGAGCGGCTTTCTTGAGACTGGAGTCTGTAGCTCCATGTCTGGAACCTGGTGTCAAAACCTCCGAACAGCACAGACCATTTGAAGTGCTAGAGATTTCCCTGGGAAAAGCTGGTCCCCGGTTATTAAAAAGGGGAAGCAGGCACAGATTTCAGAGAGGGGTGCAGACAAGTTGCCTTGGTTATTATTTCTCATCGATTGGGAAAAGGAGTTCACTTTACTCAGTAAATAGAGCTTTGATGGATTCCCAGGATCCTTCCAGCAGCTGATCTGCTAAAATGACACTTTTTATTACTGTTCATAAACGCCAATCTCCAGGTGCTGCTGGGATATTACGTCTAAGCTGTGGGCAAACTTGCCAGTCCAGTGGCTCAACAAGCAAGGGCGAGAGAGGCTGGTATTTAGCGCCTGCTCTTCCGTGAGATGCGCGGTGCTGGACTCGGGCCTGGCCGCCGGAAGAGCCAGTATTGGGGTCTTTTCAGAGCCGTCCCCTCCTGCCCTGTTGGAGTGAGGAGAGGTAGACACTTGATTTTCACCGGAATTGCGGTGTATTTGAGGGGAGCTGGGTGGAGGGACAGCTTTCTTTTCTCAGAGGAACGCCGAAAAAAGGTGTAGCCGGGGCTCCAAGCTCCTGGGAACCACATCTGCCTTTTTTCCAGCCAGTGCTGACTCTAGAACAGGGGCCTTTTTCTCAACTTTAAAATAGGGCTGAAACTTTCACGAAGGTGTGTCTGGGGACATCTCTAAATTGTTGGCAGTTCTCAAGGAAGGAACTGTTTTGTGGGCTCTTTCAGAAACTTAATAACTGCCTTTCTCCTTTTTAAAACTTTTCATTTCCTTTTTTTTTTTTTTCTTTAAAGTTTATTTTGAGAGAGAGTTTGCACGTGCACAGGGGAGGGGCAGAGAGAGAGAGGGAGAGAGAGAAAATCCCAAGCAGGCTTCGCACTGTCAGCACAGAACCCGACACGGGGCTCAAACACAAACTGTGAGATCATGACCTGAGCCGAAACTAAGAGTCAGACGCTCAACCGACTGAGCCACCCAGGCACCCTGCGTTTCCTTATTTATGCATTTTTCAAATGGGTAAGAAGCCCTTTAGCAGTCAATATCGGGTACTTTGGAATGAATTTCGTTTTGAAATCCCAGGAGTACAGGAAGAAGAGTCACCCCTCTGGATAGGGGCCCTGGAGGCGGGGCTTGTGGCGTGAACATTTATAGCAGGAGTAACAGACCGTGACGGGAGGCAAAATAAACCCATGGGAACCTTTTGAATTGTGTAACATTTACATGTGTTAGCAATTGAAAAAATAAATTGAATTAGGAAAATTTTTTCCTAATATAAAAGTCTGATGATTTCATTTTTCATGAGAAAATACCACATTGATCATGTCTTAGTTTCTTCACTCATTCTGTCTTTCGTTTCTATGACAAACACTGACCAGCTGCCTGCTGCCGTGTCCCAGCCGCTGTGCAAGGCCCCAAGACCATAGTGAGGAGAAAAGAGGGCCGCTGCCCTCTAGGGTTCTTGCACACTACCCAGTAAAATCTGAAATTCTGTTGGGTTTACTCAAGTGATACTTGTGTCCTGTAGATTTTTCTTTTGATGAATTAAAAAGAAAATACACCAGGATAGATTTAGGTTGTACTGTCCTGACTGTCTCAGGGTGCCTGGCAAGATAAAGTGCGTAGGACAGCCATTAGGCCCGGGCGCTTCGAGACCCCATCCTGACGGCCTCCCTCACCCTCCTCTTCCTCCCAGCTCTGCAGTCCTTCATTCGAGCCTATGCAACCTACCCCCGGGAGCTGAAGCACATCTTCCACGTCCGATCGCTGCACCTTGGTCATGTGGCTAAGAGCTTTGGGCTGAGAGATGCCCCCCAAAATCTTGGTGTCTCGGCTGTAAAGAGAAGAAAAGGAAACCTGAACAGGTAAGATGAGTTGAACTTGCCCTGGGACAGATGGCTGGAAGTGAGGTGGGTTTGGAGAGCTCTGTGCACACAACAGCAGGGCGGTGGTGGGGCAGGCTGCTGCGTGATGGGTGCAGACTTCCCTCTTTGGGTTTTGTGCTGAATCGTCACCAGTGTCCGCCCCTCTCGAAGTGTGATAAGTGCTTGGAACGAGAGGAAAAATACTTAATCTGAATGTTTTTAAGGCACCTGCAGAAATGCAATGGTGTCTCCTGTCGGGTCCAGATGGTGGTGGGGTTTATTGGGGCAGCAAGACAAACCTGTTGGTTGTAGTGGGTTGCCTCCACTGCCCACCAGCAGAGTAACGTGGGGCCTTTCTGGAGTCGGAGCTTCAGATGTGCCGTGGTTCACCATGGACAGCCCCCCAGGACTTGTACGAAAACTTCTGGTGTGTTCTGTGAAATCAGTTTGGTCCTGTCCTGGGGAGGTGGGAGGGGCTGCGTGGGGACTCACTGCACTGGTCGCTCTCCTTGGTGCTGACACGTGCGTCTGGTGCCAAGCGCCCACAGAGGGCAGAGGCCGGTGCGAGCGTGAGATTCTCACCCTCCCTCAAAGGCCCGTGGTAAACTGTCCAGAGGTCCTAGTGAGAGTGAAGAGCGCTGCCCTGCAGGTCGGAGGCTGGGCTCTGGGTCCACCTCCACAGTTCCAGGAGGTCCTGAGATGATTCCCCTCAGCAAAAGACATTTGTAAGAGGACCCAGCCCCTTTGCAGGAGCCATGGACCGCTTGCATGGGGACTCCGGGATGGACTGCCATCACCACTTGTGCAGCATGTGAGTGGGAAGGAAACACTGAACAAGCAGAGAATCCTTGAATGCTCTGGACAATTCTTTTGCATGGCACATCCTTTATTTGCTTATGAATTACAAATGTCAAAGTACACTTGCCCTGACTGTGAGAATCTGGGGGTGTGCCACACTTCCCTGCGAGTTCCCGCCACATGCCCGCTTGCTCGTGCACCATCACTTGTCAGGGCCCAGGTTCTCTGGATGCGGTGACAAAAGGCAGAGTGGACCGCCTGGTGTAGGGAAACGATCGCTGGTCTTAGATGCAGGGGACTTGGACTTCAGTTCCAGCTCCGCTCTGATGTGAGCTTCTGAGCTTTGGGCCGTATCTTTGCTTTACTTCTCAGAGCCTCAGTTTCCTCAGCTACAGCAAGGAGAAGGAAATCAGTGTTTTGTAGCTGTTTCACAAGGTTGTTTTGAGACTCAGCATTAGGACGGGCCGCACAGATGAATCACCTTAGGACAGAAATCTGGAAACCAGATGGGTTAAGATTCTGGAACATCCAACCTGATCTGTTCAGGGTGTGGCACCTACAAGGCTCTTAGTAATGGATAAAGTTTGCCTAATTCTAGTCCCATTTTTGGAATTTTTAAGATGCTTGTTTTTTTTTTTTCTTGTATTAACACCTCTCCTGTAGGACCATACCTCAGTAATTCTGTCAGACCGGTAGTTCACATGCCGCTGTTGATCCGTGCCCAGACAAGGCTAAGACACATCCAGCTCTTGTGTCTTCCAGGCGGTTTTGAGGTTCAGGGTACTGCCCGCTGCCCCTGCTACCTGTCCTGGGCAGGGCTGTGGCTAGAGACTTCTCTGCCCGTCCTCCCGGGAGGTAGAAGACGCCTCAGATGTACGACGGCTGTGCGCCAGAGTCAGGTTGCTGCCCTGGGGTCGGAAGTAGCTGGTATTTCCGCGTGCCCACTTTGGTTTCGAGTGTGTGAGGCTTGCAGTCAGGTCTGAGGGGGACCTCCTAGTGATCTGGAAGCCAGGCCATCCTGCCACCGTCTCTAAAACGTTGGCACTTCGAGAAGATCGGAACACTCCTGCCAGTTGATCACTGGTGAGAAACACAGATCTTGCCGATTCCTATCCCCGCAAATCAATGCAGTCCCGATATTTCATTGTTAGCGGCTCATCTACCTTTATGAGTGGGAACTTCATTAGCAAGTGTTAATCCAGAGAGCAGCTCTTCAGGCTGGGACGTCCGCAGCTCTTACCCAGATCCTGGAAAGCAGAGCAGCAAGGCAGGGAGGCAGTCGGGAGGGGGACTCGGAGCCAGCCAGCATTGTCCTTACCTTGAGAAGCCACTAGGGAGAGAGCAAGCCGCCGCCTCCTGCTTCGGCTGACCCTGCTAGCAGATGGGCACCAGGACTACCATACCCCTGTGAGCAGGGGATTTAACAGGGCTTTATTTAGGGAAGAATGGGCTGATTAGCCGATAAAGAGCATGTAAGATGGTATGGGGCAGCCTTTGATGTCTGGCTGGCGCGGCAGGGAGCCGGGTGGTGAGTGACAGCAGTGTGTCACAGGATTACTCCGCCCGTGACAATACCGCTCTCTGTTCTGGCCATGTCACCACTCAGTTACAGCTACTTTTTCGGTTGTTATGCCCTTCTTTTGAAGGCATTTCTCGCTGCACTCTTACATCCTCCCACCCCACCCCTGCCTTGCAAACGCAGACGGCGCTCAAGGATACAGTAGGCACCTTTTTTTTTTTTTTTTTTTTGGCGGCGGGGGGGGGAATCTTGTCACTCCTGGAAGAAGAATGACTTGGCAGCTAATGTGCACACGGACCGTATAATTGTGGTCAGGGTGAGCGGCAGAGAAGACGGGACAGATTTTCCGCACCTCAGTCAGGGCTCAAGCAAATGCCAGTTGCTGCTTTTTGAGGACTGGGAAGAAAAGTCCGTTAAACACCACAGAGTGCAGAGAGTTATGCTGTGGCCACAGTGATTGTTCTGAGCTCAGGCGTCTCCTCTGAAATCCATCTGTCAAGAAAGGGAGTGGTTCCTTCTGCTTTCCTGGGGTGGACCAATTTGGAGCCCTGAATTTTCCAAATTATTCTGCATTCTGTGTCACGGGGTTAAGTGCCTAGAGTAGCTCTACGTTGTGTGCAGACCTCTGATACCTGTGGACCAAGTCCATGCCACTGTGAGCAGAATCCTGTCTCACCTCGTCATGCACCAAACAAGGGATTCGTCTGGGTGTTAAAACATGAAGCAAGGGCAGGTTAGCGAAGGGGATGGTTTCCACGCAGTGACAAAGGGAAGTTTTATCTCATCCGTATGCCTTTACTTGACCACTGTTGAGACAAAAAAAGGATAACATTCCCCAAACGAGATCTTTATCACCAGGTCTGTATCCGCTTTTCAGTCCTTAGTTCTGAAAGGGAACACAAAATGCTTCTCCCCTGCACACAGATGCAGTCGTAGTTACAAAACTCCTCTGACACTGACACGCAGACCTGCCAAGACAGCCCCCCACCCCCCACCCCAGACACCGACACAGACGTGCACACAGGGAGTCGGTGCTGTTGGTAAAATATTGAATGGCCCCTTAGCAACATCCATCACAAACACAGCATTTTCCTTCTGTGAAACGCGGTTCTGATTTTGAAGCTTGGTAGACTCCGCGGTTCCTGAGAAGCAAAGATAACATACCTTCCAAAATTTCCATCTTCCCAGGAGACGGGGGGGACCCGGTACCGTCTGCTTCGGGAGGGCAGAGTGGTGTTGTCGGCCAGGGCGTCTGTCTGTCTAGGCGGTGACACACACGAGTAGTGAGCAGGCCCGCCGTGCGGGGCTGCGAGTTCCTCACCTCCCTTACACGCTGTGGAGAGTGGTTCAAGAATACAATGCGTTACGGTGTCAGTGCTACTGCGACAGTACGAGAGAGCGAGTCTGCTGCTTTTAACCAACTATCTCGTGAATTCTGTGCTGTGATCATGAAAGCACTGCTCTGCCCCCACGATGTAATTTGTAGCTACCCGAGACTTGTCTACCCCTGGCTTATGCCACCTGTGTGTTTCTGATGTTTTCCTTCGTGCCTAGAAACATCTTGGACGTCGCCTTTATCAGTAATCCAATAACTATGCTCCTCTGTTCTCGGCTCCCTCCTTTTAGAATTAGTAGAGCAACAACAGTCCAAGTTGTTGGCTGTTCTTAAAAGAAATGCAGTTTTGTTTATGCACATTTCCTTTTTCTCTTTCACTTAAATGTTTGCTTATTTTTGAGAGTGTGCCAGTGTGGGAGGGGCGGGGGGAGGGTGGGGACAGAGGATCTGAAGCAGGCTCCGCACAGACAGCAGAGAGCCTGATGTGGGGCTCGAGCTCACGAACCACAAGATCATGACCTGAGCCGAAGTCAGTTGCTCAACTGACTGAGCCCCCCAGATGCACCATACACATGTGCTCAAAGCCAGCCCGACCAAAGTGTGACCACGAAGTTCCTGCTCTTACCAAACAGGTAAACCATCTAAAATGAAGGATCTCTTAACCCTTAACTACTGGGTCTGGGTGTGCTGGGCCTGTGCTCGGCGGGCCGTGGTCAGTGACAGGAGGGTACACGGGGCTGGCTCCCCTGGGTCCTGGCCTCGGGTCAGAACCCCCGGCACCCGGGCACCGCAGAGCATCTGTCTCCCCGGAGTTCTAGATCCAGTGTTTTCTCTACACCAAGTAGACGTCCTCGTGTGGAGGTGCCTGCCAGAGTTTTCTCATCTGAATTGTCACGGATTTTAGCACTAACGTTCAAACTGGAGGTTTTGCACAGCCCCACTCGGGGCATTTTTCCTTTTTGAAGCCTTTGCCCTGTCACTTGTTCCGATTGCCACCGTCGCCTGTCCAGTGGCCGTTCGGTAACTGCGAAGGGCTCCCGTCCCCACTGGTGCTCTAGGGCCTCTGGTTCTTAGGTGCCGCCCAAGGGAGGGCCACACAGGGGTTGAGCCGGGGTTGAGCCTCTTCTGTCTGCCCTGGGACAAGTGACTCGGCGACTCTCTGCCTAGTCCCCTGGCTTCCCAAACGGGCACGGGAGCCTCACAGTGCTGTGTGAGGACCACGCCAGGCGGTGAGTGTCCAGCATCGACACGGGGTCAGACGTGAACACACGGGAGCACGTGGCGGTGACAGTGCTGGTGGCTCTTTCTGCCGGCCTTCACCGCACCTGTGAGTATCCTGGGCCGGGG